GGGGGCACAGGCTGCCTGCTGCAGGTTCGGGCTCCCACCCTGCTGCTCTCCCCTGGGGTCTCCGAAGTCCGGCAAGTGCAACCCTGAGTGGCAGGGATCAGCGGAGATACACAGGGATCCCCTTGGTGCTGTGAGTTCCGCACTGCCCGGCCACACATTCTTCACATACAGGGGGAGCAGGGAAAGTAGTGCGGGAGTGTGCCACTCACTGCAGTCCCGTGTGTGGAGGATGCATTGCCAGGACAGTGCCAGGGCACGGGGAACCCATGCCCCCCAGATCTGTGCGCAGCGCAGGCCCACTGCGGGCTCCTGCCCTGCTGCCCTCCCCTGAGGCCTCCTGTGAGCTCTGTGTGGCCCTGCAGTGAGTGGCACAACCCTGTGCCACTTCTCTTACTGTCCCCATACATGGAAGACACATGGCCAGGGCAGTGCGCAGAGGCAAGGAGATCCCTACATGGCCCCATTCTTCCCTGCCACTCCGGGTCACACACGCTGAGCTGTGCAGGCCCCGTTAGAGGACAGCAGGGAAGGAGCCTTCCTTCCTTCCAGAATGCAGTTCAACAAGGAGAAATGCAAAGTGCTGCACCTAGGGAGGAAAAATGTCCGGCACACCTACAGCCTAGGGAATGACCTGCTTGGTGGCACGGAAGTGGAAAGGGATCTTGGAGTCCTAGTGGACTCTAAGATGAACATGAGTCGGCAGTGTGACGAAGCCATCAGAAAAGCCAATGGCACTTTATCGTGCATCAGCAGATGCATGATGAATAGGTCCAAGGAGGTGATACTTCCCTTCTATCGCGCCCTGGTCAGACCGCAGTTGGAGTACTGCATGCAATTCTGGGCGCCGCAATTCAAGAGGGATGTGGAGAACCTGGAGAGGGTCCAGAGAAGGGTCACTTGTATGGTTAAGGGCCTGCAGACCAAGCCCTACGACGAGAGACTAGAGAAACTGGACCTTTTCAGCCTCTGCAAGAGAAGGTTGAGAGGCGACCTTGTGGGGCACAGAAGGGAATTGGTGAGTATTTATTCACCAAGGTGCTCCCGGGGGTTACAAGAAATAATGGCCACAAGCTAGCAGAGAGCAGATTTAGATTGGACATTAGGAAGAACTTCTTCACAGTTCGAGTGTCCAAGGTCTGGAACGGGCTCCCAAGGAAGGTGGTGCTCTCCCCTACCCTGGGGGTCTTCAAGAGGAGGTTGGATATGC